TAGGAGAGATGAGACTGTCGGTGGGTGACCATTGATACTGCTGGATTATTTTTTATGAACCATGATGCAAACTTTTAGTTTCAGTGGGCGACCGCTCCTCCTCCCCCTCGGTCGCACCAGTGTGACTGGACATTTTTTTAGTCACACTGTTAGGAAATCTGATCGCATTTGCGACCAAATTGGTCGCACTCTAGAGCCCTGTCAGTATCATATTGATTAGACTTTTATTTTACCTATTTTAAAACAAGGACCAGGAGACAAAAAGTTGATTCGTACTGCCAAACTGGTGATGTGACCTCTCCCTCATTTATCTACATTTTCCTCTCGAGCTGTTACACTTATTTTCTCCTTTCACTTCCCTCTCCCTGGGCTGCCACCTTATTGTGGTGGAGAGGTTTGAGTGTCCCAATGATCCTAGGAGCTATGTTGTCGGGGGCTTCATGCCCCTGGTAGAGTCACCCAAGGCAAACAGGTCCTAGGTGAGGGATTAGACAAAGTGCAGCCCAAAGACCTCATATGATGAGTACAATAAATGGACTGAGTGTTCCCTCACCCGGATGCGGGTCACCGGGGCCCCACTCTGGAGCCAGGCCTGGAGGTGGGGCACGTTAGCGAGCGCCTGGTGGCCGGACTTTCACCCATGGAGCCCGGTCAGGCATAGCCCAAAGAGGAGACGTGGATCCCCCTTCCCATGGGCTCACCACCTGTGGGAGGGGCCGTAGGAGTCGGGTGCAATGCGTGTTGGGCGACGACCTTGGCGGTCTGATCCTCGGCTATTGAAGCTGACTCTAGGGACATGGAATGTCACCTCTCTGGTGGGGAAGTAGCCTGACCTGGTGTGTGAGGTTGAGACGTTCTGACTAGATATTGTTGGACTCACCTCAATGCACCGCTCTGGAACCAGTCCCCTCGAGAGGGGTTGGACACTCTTCCACTCTGGAGTTACCCAGGCTGAGAGGCGCCAAGCAGGAGTGGGGGCATTCTTATTGCCCCCCCCCCATCTCGCTGCCTGTACATTGGGGTTCACCCCGGTGAATGAGAGGGTAGCCTCCCTCCCCCTACGAGTGGGGAGATGGGTCCTGACAGTTGTTTGTGCCTATGCGCCTAACAGCAGTTCAGATTACCCACCCTTTTTGGAGTCCTTGGAGAGGGTGCTGGAGAGTGCTCCTAACGGGGACTCCCTCTTTCTGCAGGGGGACTTCAACGCTCACGTGGGTAATGACAGTGAGACCTGGAGAGGCGTGGTTGGGAGGAACGGCCCCCCGATCTGTATCCGAGCAGTGTTTTGTTATTGGACTTCTGTGCTCGTCATGGATTGTCCATAACGAACACCATGTTCAAGCGTAAGGGTGTCCACATGTGCTCTTGGCACCAGGACACCCTAGGCTGCACCTCGATGATCGACTTTGTTGTCGTTTCATCTGATCTGCGGCCACATATTTTGGACACTCGGGTGAAGAGAGGGGCAGAGCTGTCAACTGAACAATACCTGGTGGTGAATTGGCTCTGTTGGTGGGGGAGGATGACACTCAGACCTGGCAGACCCAAACGTATAGTGAGGGTCTGCTGGGAAAGTCTGTCAGAGTCTCCCGTCAGACGGAGCTTCAACTCACACCTCCGGGAGAACTTTGAACACATTCCGGGGGAGGTGGGGGACATTGAGTCCGAGTGGGCCATGTTCCAAGCCTCCATTGTTGAGGCGGCTTACCTGAGGTGTGGCCATAAGGTTGCCAGTGTCTGTCATGGCGGCAACCCTCGAACCCGCTGGTGGACATCGGCGGTGAGGGATGCTGTCAGGCTGAAGAAGGAGTCCTATCGGGTCTTTTTGGCCTGTGGGACTCCGGAAGCAGCTGATAGGTATCGGCAGACCAAGCGGATTGCGGTTCTGGTGGTAGCTGAGGCAAAAACTTGGGCGTGGGAGGAGTTCAGAGAGGCCATGGACAAAGACTTCCATTCGGCTTCGAGGCGATTCTGGCCCACCATCCGGCGTCTCAGGGAGGGAAAGCGGTTTGCCACCAACATTATTTATGGTGGGGATGGTGTGCTGCTGACCTCAACTCGGGACGTTGTGGGTCAGTGGGAAGAATAATTCGAAGACCTCCTCAATCCTACCGACATGTCTACCCATGAGGAAGCAGAGCCTAAAGATCCTGGGTCGAACTCTCCAATCTCTGGTGCCGAGGTCACTGAGGGTTTAAAAAGCTCCTCGGTGGCAAGGCGCCGGGGTTGGATGAGATTCGCCTGGAGTTCCTTAAGGCTCTGGATGTTGTAGGGTTGTGTTGGTTGATGCAACTCTATAACATCGCGTGGACATCGGGGGCAGTTCCTCTGGATTGGCAGACTGGGGTGGTGGTCCCCTTGTTTAAAAAGGGACACTGCAGAGTGTGTTCCAACTATAGGGGGATCACACTTCTGAGCCTCCCTGGTAAAGTCTATTCAGGGGTCCTGGAGAGGAGGATCCGTCGGATAGTCAAATCTCAGATTCAGGAAGAGCAGTGTGGTTTTTGTCCAGGTCATAGAACAGCGGACCAGCTCTACACCCTTAGCAGGGTCCTGGAGGGTGCATGGGAGTTCAACCAGTCTACATGCGTTTTGTGGACTTGGAGAAGGCATTTGACCGTTTCCCTCGGGGACTCTTGTAGGGGGTACTCTGGGACTATGGGGTACCAGGCCTGTTGATACGGGCTGTTAGGTCCCTGTACGACCGGTGCCAGAGCTTGGTCCACATTGCCGGTGGTAAGTTGGACTTGTTTCAGGTGAGAGTCGGACTTCACCAAGGTTGCCCTTTGTCACCAATTCTGTTCATAACTTTTATGGACAGAATTTCTAGGTGCAGCCAAGGTGTAGAGGGGATGTTGTTGATGACCTTAGGATCACATCTCTGCTTTTTGCAGATGATGTGGTYHTATTGGCTTCATCAGATCGTGATCTCCAGCTCTCACTGGAGCGGATCACAGCCAAGTGTGAAGTGGCCGGGATGAGGATCAGTGCCTCCAAATCCGAGACCATGGTCTTGAGCTGGAAATCGGTAAGTTGCCTTCTCCGGGTCGGGGAGGAGGTCCTGCCCCAAGTGGAGGAGTTTAAGGGTGTATTCAGACCAGGAAAGTCCTTTGGTCCCCTTGTTTGGTCCGGACCAAAAGTGGACTTTATTTTTTTCATTTGGTGCGGTTTGCATTCACATTGTGCTTTTTTGCAAATGAACTATAAGTTGTAAACAAAGGCATGAGGCTGACGATCATTGCTCCCATTGGACAAAAAAGGACGGGGGCGGGACTGAGCCACAGACCCAGAAAAAAACAAGGAAGTCTTGCATGCTGCAGTTCTGATGTGCACATTTATGATGATAGTACAACTGCAATAGCATTTAAAATGTCAAAAGCAGCTAATTTAATGGTGATTCTGTGATGATATTCTAATTTTGGAGCGACGTCACATAAATGTGTCCCGCGGCCCAAAGGAGACGAGGTGCTCTCCGTGTTCTGACCCACTACATGCTGCCAGCATAGCTAGAGATGGCGAAAAAGAACAGGAGATGACGAAAAAGGTATGATTTCAGTTTATTTAGCTCAGCAACAGTGGTCTTTGAAGTCCAAAAAGGCGCATGTTTAATGCAGTTAGTTCGATTAGAGTCCGGTCTGTATTCACATCAGAAGCGAACTGATGTGAACCGCACCAGAGTTCGTTTGGAAGTGAACCGAGACCACCTCAAAAAGCAGGTCTCGGTCCAGTTGCTTGATCCGCACCAGAGTTCGCATGAGTGTATTCACACCTGCACAAAAGGTCCGGACCAACGCTGGAAACAAACTCTGGTTCGTTTAAAGCGGACCAAATTGTCAGGTCTGAATATGACCTAAGTATCTCAGGGTCTTGTTCACAAATAAGGGAAGAATGGAGCGGGAGATCGACAGGCAGATTGGTGCTGCATCTGCAGTGATGCGGGCGCTGTACCTGTCTGTCGTGGTGAGGCGAGAGCTGAGCCAGAAGGCGAAGCTCTCGATTTACCAGTCGGTCTACGTTCCTACCCTCATCTATGGTCACGAGCTTTGGGTAGTGACCGAAAGAACGAGGTCCCAGATACAAGCGGCAGAAATGAGTGTACTCCGCAGGGTGTCTGGGCTCTCCCTTAGAGACAGAGTGAGAAGCTCAATCATCCAGGAGGGACTCAGAGTAGAGCTGCTGCTCCTCCATGTCGAGAGGAGCCAGTTTAGGTGGCTCGGGCATCTGGTAAGGATGCCTCCTGGAAGCCTCCCTGGTGAGTTGTTCCAGGCATGTCCTACTGGGAGGAGGCCCAGAGGAAGACCCAGGACACGCTGGAGGGACTATGTTTCTCGGCTGGCCTGGGAACACCTTGGGATTCCCCTGAATAAGCTGGCCCAAGAGGCTGGGGAGAGGAAAGTCTGGGTCTCTTTGCTTCGGCTGCTACCCAAACCCGGATAAGTGGAAGAAAACGGAGGGACGGACTGACTTCACGTCATTCTTTTTTATTTTTAAACAGTTGTGTGGCAAAACATGAAACTGCTACTGCGCATATTACTCAACAGGTTGTTGATAGCTTACCAAAGAGTGAGTGAGTGAGTGAGTGAGTGAGTGAGTGAGTGAGTGAGTGAGTGAGTGAGAGAGAGAGAGAGTGATTTGATGCCACCAATTTCATTTACTTGGGCTGAGAGATGTCAAGCATCTAAAGCCTTTCCTGCCTACATCCCCCAGAATGCCATGCAGTTCTGGATTTGGAATTCAGTGAAATTATTAACATTCTATAGGTTAAGTTTTGCAGTGATATTGATCATATGTCTATTGCGATATACCGTCCGTCCGTTTCATAGTATCAGTTATGGATCACACTTGGCTCCTACTAACACACCAAATTTTAGCTCAGTTTTTGTAAAAACAACTGATTTTTAACCATTTCTGAGGCTGATTAGATAATAACAAGACAAATGAAGCACACACAGAAACACTAAATCCAATTCAGAAGAAAAACTAAAGTTAATGTCTCTTACCTTTAAGTGACGCATTGAAGCCCATTTCATCTATAAGAGCTCGAAGATGCTCCGGTTCTATCAGTTTGGGGTTAAAGCTTATTGCTCCCTTTTTCTCTTTCAGCGACACCGTTATGGACTTCACTCCGGAAACTTCAGATATCTTGCCTTCTATAGACTGAACACATGAACTACAGGTCATCCCTTTGATCCATACAGTGACAGTCTGGGTGGGCTCATTCATGAGGTCCCCCTGCCAGAGGCTTAAATCCCCCCCAAAGGCATCCTCGGGTACAAAAGCAGCATCAAACCCAATGTCCTCAATCTGGTGTATCAGTTCCTGATGTGTAATAATTAACGGTTGGTGTACAATCTTGGCTACACCATGCTGAAAAGACACCTGGATATGTGAGACCCCTGATAAACCTCCAATCCGTCCCTCGATGGAATGCACACAGGACTGGCAGTGCATGCCATCCACTTTGACCAGTGCTACTGCTTCAACACTGCACCCAAGAGTCTGCAGCTGCAGGGCAATCTCTGCAGCTGTGGTCACTGTGTCATCATAGTCCACCTGCAGTAAACTCTCAGGCACAGACCAGATGACGGCCAGGACTCCATTCAAGCGGCTGAGTGTGGTTTCCACAGCTTGGTGGTCGGCGGTGAGTCCCAGGAGTCTAAAAGTTCTGGATGCAGGTTTGGGCGACGGGTGGAGCTCACTCTGGCTGCCGTACTCATAGGCCAAGTTATCAAAGCCTTGCTGCTCCAAGTCGGGACTGTTCCTCTAGAAAAAAAAGAGACATAAGACATGGTTTATTTTGTTTTCCTAATCCAATGACCTCTGGAAATATGGTTTAAACCTATTTTTAACATATTAAAATGAGGATTTCTTTACATCATTTGATATTTAATAAACTTCTAATCGCTATTTCAATCTTTCTATCTTTCTAATTACTTCTCTCTCTGTTTTTCTCTCTGTCTCTATTTTCTCTTCACTTAAAAAAAGTCACTG